TCCATCCCATTCTCTGTGGTTCGGATCCGTTCTTTCCTCTGATTCTAATTCAGATTCTTCTGCTGATGCTAACTCTAATTCTTCCATTTGCTGTCCACTCTTGGCGGATCCCGCAGATAGGGCGGTGTACGCATAATGGCAGTTGCTTAGATATTAAAATAAATCACCGACTAAACTGGTGGGACAATAAATCTGGTCGGCTTCCTACAGAAGCTTCTGGAAATTGGGATAGGCCCGCAGCTGGGCGGTTTTATTGGATCTTCTCGGGGTGCTTTTATGTTGCCAAGGTGGAGTTGGTGAAGTGGCCAGTAGTCACGGGGAGTTGGGAGTTGGCAGCTGGGAGAGCTCCTTTGCCGCATTCCTGGCCAGCGATCGCCACTTAACCCAGAGAATTGGCATTTCCTGCATCCATCATTAACAGCCACTCGGCATCTAATTAGTCAGCCCAGTCAGGTTTTATGGATCTTCGGTGGTGCGTCGGGTGGTCGCAAAGCCGGTCCACGGTCCATGCGAACGGTCAATACCATTTTGGGTTTTTCGCCAATTCCAATTCCAACTCCAATTCCAATTCCATCTCCTATTTTAAGTCCAATTCCAATTCCGATTCCGAATCCGATTCCTAGAAGGGCATGGCCCGGTAATGAGAAGTGAGGAATTGCCGCTGGCTGCATTTTGAAGACACTTAAAAGGTTTTGGTCTCTTGCCACATTTTGATTGCATCAATAAAAAGTCAACGCTGTCCCGATCGCCATTCGCCGCTCGCTGGTTCTTTAATGAGCCCAGCTAGGAGCGAAGAGGGCTTCTTCCGAGAGATTGACAATGGAAATGAGGCACCGAGTGGCCATCAGACACTCGTAGTTTTATTTATAGCATCTCCTAAGCGTTGCCATTAAAGCCGGGCTCCCCTGTTTAGGGTTCCGAATGGCATAGGGCTTACTTGCTGGTCTGAGGGCTGGGACGCAACCAATGCCAATTAATTGGCTGCTGTCTTTGGCCAAATGCTGCAGATGAGGCACTGAGGCTGGGGATGCGGCTGAAGATGAGGCAGCTGCAGTGCGCCGATGTCTGGAGGCCTTGATGAGAGGCGCCAAAGTGCCAACACCCCATGCCAGCGGACATTACAGTGCGAAAAAAATCAAATACATTCCTATAGGTTAACACTGTTAATAAAATTAACAACTATTACTATTCAGCTATTCCCATTCTCTGATTTAAGTTAATGATAGATTTATTTATTCAGCAGAGAACTATTATTACTATTATTTTAATTTCTTTCATATGATTTTCTTATATGTTTGATGATTCATATTTCCCCATACATTCAACTTTATATAATATTTTAAAAAAAAAACCCATGTTTTTGTAATAGTGCAGCATTCCTGTCAAAATTCTACACCCCTTGCCGTTCCTCCACTGAGCCTTACTAATTAATAATAGTAAAGCGAAAATGCACGCGAACGCGAAGCAGGAAGACGCGGCTCAGGCTTCGTTTTTGTGGCCAAGATTCATGCTCTTAGCCGAGGCGAACTAAGCCAAGTCCGAGTGGTCCGGCGTTTATTTTTAGACAATAAACTGAGGATGCTCAGCTATGGAAGAGCTACGGCTTCGGGCAACCGGCAACTTCGATCGGCTAATGGTAATGAGCTGCAAGCTATTTACAGTTTGGCCACGGCCTTGCAACCAAAGTTGGCTAAAAGCGAGCCAGCCAGCCACCCAACCCCTGCGCATCCATATTTATGGGCCAGCATCAATCTGACTTAATGCCCATGCGGCTTGATTAGCATGTCGATGAGCTGGAGCATCGGGGGAAGAAGCTCCGCCGGAGGAGCAGGTGGCTGATGACTCCGGGGGGCAGTCCGCTGATGGGTCATCTGATGGGCAGTCCGTTCCGTACAACCCCCAAAACACTCGTTGAATGGCCTTCAACGTCCTTGGCTGTACATTTATTGAACTTGTGTATAATTATAATTTATTTGCTTATTATCGAGTCTCGATTTGTGTAGTTGCTATTTGTTATTGTTATTGCTGTTGCTGTTGCTATTGCTGTTGTTATGGCTCACGTTTTTGTGCTCGCCAAATATTATAATTTATGTGAATAAAGCGATGTGAATCTCTAGCCCCCAGATAGACTTGTCTCGGCCCCCCGCCCCCGGAATCCCCCCTCGATTCCAGTCTACGCTGACCATGTCTATTAGCAAACAATTTGTATTGTCTAGGAGTTAATCACTCATAACGTCATCGATTTATTTTTAAAGAATATTATTAGCGCCTTAGCATATTATTTCATTTATTATGTAAAAATGCGTTTTATGTTAATTTCAATTGTTTACCTTATTCTTTGCGAGGTGCCAAGCTCAGATGGTAAATGATATAAACAACAAACAAGTTGGCTGTGCGTTTCAGAAAAACAAGAGTATTTCTGGTGTTTGATTTCGCGCCCTACTGCCGCACTTCTCGAATGTTGGTCAAATAGAACAGTTAAGGGGAAGTAAAAACAATTTCAATATTTTGTAAACACATTCCTACTTTAGAGTTGTTATGTTTATTGTTTCTGTTAAGCACGTTTGAGTCTACGTATATGTATAGTTTTGTAAATAAATTTCTTGTATTTTTTTTATCAAAAATAGAGAGTACTTATTATTGGTTTTGCTTCTTGGGTAAAAATATATTTTGTTTCTCAACTGCTTTTGCCCCAGGCCTCGTCTGATAGGCAAATCAACATGCAAAACAATGCATTATATATAAAGAGTATGAAAACTAAAAAGTACACCCAGCGAAAAGCCCGAAAAAGAGTCGAAAACACTTTGTGCTGATTCTGGGCGAAATCAAAAAGTCATCATTCGCCACGAGGAGCCGAAATCTGGGCACTGCGATCGGCAAGTGTGAGTGTGCCTAATGAGTATTCAATTGATGCAGAAAGCAACCGGCGGCCACCAGAAGTGACCGACCATAAATGGCCATTTGAAAGACGTTACAGTTCGATCGATCGTCCGATCGGCAGATCCCAAATTCGATTAGGAGGAGAGTGGGGAGCCAAAATGCCGGAGAACTGCGGGCACTTCACAAGATTTCTGGGATGGGGCAGCGAAAATTAGAAAGAAGTGCGTCCAAGGGAATCGGGGTCAATAGGAAATGAAAAGTGAAATTTTATGCCCAAAGCTCTCTGCCTTTGTTGTGTACTCCACAATGTGTGTCTTGGATTCTCGTTTTTTTCCAACTTGGCCTTTTTTTTTGGCAAAGGAACTTGCAATTTAAATATCATTAAATTCTGGGTTAAGCCTTTGTGCCGGCCACTTGAAAATTGCCACCGTGTAATCAGTTTTTGACAGCCATCGAATGGGCCCCAAGCCAAATTGGCAATGGCTTTTGGAAAAGGTCTCAAGTGGAAAAGGCGACACTCTGTCGATCAGCCAATGGCTGTTTAATCAGACGGGAATTGTCCGGAGATCTTCGAAAGCTGAGAAATGGCTGTCAAAAGGTTTACTATAAAATCATGCAAGAGCTGTCCAAACTAGACATTCGATCTTGAATTTTAGCAACCAATAACTCTGTTACCATCAATCAAAAAGGTTTTATAAATACAAAAATAAATTAAAAAATGTAATTTGTTTTGTCCAGCTGCAAGTTGCATCCTTATAAATAAAATTTATTGATATAGGCACTCCCTCGATCGTCAAAAAATTCTACACATGCCTTTTCTGTGGCCAGGGAAGCAGCAAACACCATTTAATAACTATTAATTATGCATGTTTGTGTAATTTGTTAATGGAGACAAATAAATAAATCCGTAAACTACCTAAACGGCTGTCAATGGCCCAGCGATATAATCAATTAGCACGACTTATGCTGCACTTGGCCGGCTCATCCGACTCCACGGATCCATGTCCGAGTGGCATGGCAAGTACTTTTTTGAATTGGCCTCCAGCGTGAATCATCCGCGGAACACAGAGTTCGTGCCAAACGAGACCTTCTGCATATTGAAATGCGGCAAACAAAAGATAAAAACGGCTAAAAAGCATAAACCAGAGGTAGTAAACCCTAAGTTCGTCGCAATTAAAAGGGCGAATAGCTGAGTGCGTACCTTTGGGCCGGGCCATTAAAATAAAAAAAGAGCCCAACTGAAAATAACGAGCCATTAAAAGCATCCCAGGCACCATCCACCATCGACCAGCCACCATCCACAGGTGGCTAAAGCGATGACGCGTCCAACGGATTGGCTTCCTATCAAACAATTGGGTATTAATTTTAATAAATAATCACCGAGAATGGAAAAAATAAATAATAACTCGAATGTTGTTGTTGTTGTTGCGGTTTTTGCATTGGCTGTGTAGATGAATCGGGGAGGTTATCAACACAATGCCTTGAGTCATCTCCCGACCGAATGGAACATGGAACGCGCTTAAAAACGTATTATGGAAGACGGAAATGAATGCCAGGAAAAAATCATATACCTACAGATATTACGTATACTATATATAATAGAAATACGCAAATAGAAAAAGCCATGCATGGCGGTAAGCAGCAGTTGCCGAGGAATAAATTAAATTTGCGTACCAGCCGAAGAATCTCCAAGCAGAATCTCCGCACAAGAATCTCCGGTGGCTTCGTGTGTTTAAATTTAAACCCTGAGCTAAGCCGCTCTGGCATTTCTGCCAAATAGTAGAATCTATATCTATTCAGAGATTCAAAGATACAAAAGCAGAGGGCTGCGAAAGATGTTATCAGGCTGTTTACTTTCCACCTGGAGAAGCCCGGCTCGTCTCCTCTCTTGTCTCAAATTACTGACCGAAAACAAAAGCAAACGGCCAACTCCAAGCCAAAAAAAAAAAAAAAAACGAATAACAAACAACAAATACAACGCGTACCGAATGGCTAAATAAATTTGGCAAACAAAAAGGCAAACATTTACTGGGCAACCGAAAAAGATGATAAATGATGAGCGTGTGCAATTCCCGGACAAATAGTTTGGCTCTGGCGATGTTTTAATAAAGCTTAACTAATTAAACAACCACTCAAAACACTCGAAACGTGCGTGTCTTGGTGTAATATAATAGATTTATTAAATTTGTAGTTTGTGTTATACAAAACACCTTAAGCACTGCATTAAAGATGAAGATGAAGCCGTAGAGAAGAGGCGTAGGTTTTTGAACTCGCCGAAGGACGGCAATCAAACTTGGCTAAGCTGCTTTTTTTATTGGGGGGAAAGCCCCGATCCTCAGAAATGCTTGGTCAAATTGCTCATGCAAGGCGAGTTATTGGTAAACAGCGTGGCCAGGCTGAATATGTTCAGGTAGGTGGATAAAAAGGTGGCCAGCAGGCCGAAGATGAGCACGGCCATCGTGCAGGACACATCGCACTCGATGCGGTGGAGGAACCTCACCATTCTCAGCCAGCAGCCACGCGGGGATATCGGCGGGGTGGTCACCAGGAGGGGTTCCATCTCCAGATCGACTGGATCGTAGTTCAAGTCCAGTGGCAGGCTGCCATAACTCGCCTCCGCAGCGATCCGCTGATGAACCCGCTCCATTCGCCGGATTCGACGGTACAAAAGGGGAGGAAGGATGAAGACCAGGGGTCCTGTTATGGTTCCACCTACAACATCCATTAGAGCATCGAAGCTGGGCACAAACTCCGCCACCAGGACCTCCAAGGCCAGAACTGAAGAGCGGATCAGCATGCGTTTGAAGGAGAGCGCTGAAAAAGGAGGGAAAATTGCGGATTAGAAGATGACTTACTTAAAACTTAACGTTGACTTAGATTAATGTGTCCGAAAACTGTATGACGGAACTCATTAAGATTCGGTTTCACTAGAACGGAATTCTCAGATCAGGTGATCATTAGTTAAACTTACCAAAGTTACTCATGACATAAGAACATTTGTGAATTTGTTAATAACAAATCGCTTTTATATTTAGCTTGTTATAAAAGTATATTTAATATTGAAAGGGACTTACACTCAGGCAGTTTGAAGTAGTTCTCGATCTGCAGGAACATGGCCGAACTGGCCACTGTGACTGAGAAGCAAAGCTGAAGGGCCATCAGGATCAACATCACATAAAAGGGCACACTTGTGGGCAGGGATTGCAGAAGGTTATCCGCAATCATGGATCCAAATTTGTAGGCAGCAATTATCGAGCCAAAGATTGCCACGCTACAGGTTACTAACCAAGGGAACCAGATTAAAAATCTACTTAAAATCGTTTTTTTTTTTGTAAAACTTACTAGCAATTCCTATAAGAGCAGCCCAGGAAACCTGTGACTTGTGCTTCATGTCGATCTGAAGAGTTAGAAGAACAGGATGAATATCGAACTGGAAGGCCAATATGCTGTAGCTGTTGAGCACGGTGAGAAAGCCAGGCAATTCTAAGGATAACAACCAAAATAATCCCCAAAAAGTACCAAAAAAGTTTTACCATACCCACCCAAGGAAATGCCCTCGAAAGGATCTCCAATTGCTGGTGCCGCAAAGAGGCAAAACCAAAGTAGCGCCACAATAACAATCATCACGCAAACAGCGATGATGGCTAGACCTCTGGGAACATAATAGAACTGATTATATAAGAGGAATAGCTTATCTTAACTCCAATCTTACCGCATGTGCTTCGGACTGCCGAGCCACATGAGCGGGCAGATGACCAGGCCCACAATTACGGCCCAATAGCAGTAGGAGAAGTTGTACTCGCCAGCGCTCATGCGCAGCACGACGCCCTCCAAGTTCTGGGCGGCCATCACCACACTGGGCACCGCCATGGCAAAGATGCTGAGATCCAGGAGCACGGACACCAGCACACTCATGTAGGGACCATAAGCCAACTCCGCCAGAGCGGCATAGGGATAGTTCCTCTTCTGCTGAATGGACGGGTCGAGCAACTCGGCCATCGTCCAGCACTGCGACAGCAGAAAGGATGTGTAGATCTGCAGGAAGATGATGGAGAGCACCAGAAACACTCCGAAGTAGCCCAGTTTCACCAGCAGCGCGGGCAGCGTGACAAACGGAAAGATGCCGAACAAATCTACCACATACAGGATGGCAATGAAGAGGGACAGATTCTCCGGCTCATCCTCGTAGGCACGGAAGTGGGGCAGGGCGCTGAACCGGGATCTCCGCAGGAAGGGCAGCTGGTCGTGCTGATGCGAGGGGGTCAGCTGGACAGGAGGGCGCCGCTTCGGAAGCGCAAAGGAGGGGGCGCGCGAGGGGCGTGGCGCGGGTTTGGCATTCTGGCGACGGAAGAAGAACATTCGCGATGTGAACTCCTCCAGGGGACGTGAGCAACTGACGACCTTCTAAGCCCAAACTAATGGTGGCCACTCTCGAGTCGACTCAACCATGCTGCCATCAACAAGTTCTGACACCGGACACCCCAAGTGAAGCCCTGCAATTGCTGCAATGCCAATGCACGTAGCGCGAAGTTCAATGCCTTGTCCCTCCGCTCCGTGAAGTGACCCACGAAATCAGGGGCAGTTGGTAACGAACGTGTTTATTTTACAAGCACATATACATATTAACAAATAGCTTCCAGCGCTCCTGTATCGATCCGTGTGAGATTCGTCCTGTAGATTCTTAAACTTGCACCTGAGATATCTTCTGTTTCTTCGCCTGGCTCTGAAATGAAACAATCATTAAAAGGTAAATGAAAGTATTAAAAATGTATCTTTAAAGAGAAATTGTTAGATGCAATACCCACCTCCTCTTTCACATCCGCCTGCATGGTGATGACCTGCACCGCCTGTCCAGGACCGGATCGCAGCAGCTTTGAGCCCTCTCCACAGCAGAATACCCGCGACGTCTGCTGCAGCTGCGGGCTGGGAGTGTCCGACTCATCCATGTCCTGCTCCAGCTGGTCGCCTATGGGGTAGATGCTCGCGTTCTTGTTGTTGTCCGTGTAGGCATGGTTAAAGAGCAAATGGTTGGGACGCACTGCATCCGTTATATACTTACTACAATCCACGGGTTAGGCGGGCATGGTCAGTACAATAGCAACAAAGTTAAGGTTATAGTTTAATGGGACTACATTTGGCAACAATTCGTAGTAAGTAAGGGATACGCACACTGACCACCGGAATAAAATTAGCTAATCGTAATAGGGGTATTTACAAGGGTCAAGTATAGACATGCATTAAAGGAGAATCATCGCAAATAGGAACTTGAACTCTGGTCTGCTCTGGCTCACTCACGCTCCATGAAGAGGCGCCACGGCTCAAAAAGCGGATGGTGCTGGTGGGGCAAGTGGTGCGAATGACGGTGCAGGTGGCCGGGGCAGCGGGTGGGCGACGTGGGCTTCTCTTTCGGGTGCAAAACGCGTCAGGAGTCGCATTCGGGCGAAGCCGGTGCATCCCGCCTGCAGTTTGAGACACAAAAGGAGACAATACAAAGAACTGCTGTTGGTGCACGATAATTGGGATCTTTGCGGTGTGAAATGTATTAAAGTGGCGCCTCAATCAGTGTACGTATCGGTTTGGGTAATGTGAGTGGGCATGCAGGATAGACGGGAGATAATAGGGGGTCCACCTACGATTTAATGTTAAACAAGCGCTGGCGCTTGATGTACTCCAAAACCAGGTCGTCTAGAAGGTACTTGACCGACTGACCGCGTCCCAGGAGCCGCCTTATCAACGTGGAGCTCACCTCATTGGGCACCCAGTTGGTAATAAGCGTAATGTTGCTCTGAAATAAAAATTAAGTATTAAGTATATATATTTAGAGGTAGTTTTCCTTTAACCTGATATTTGGTCAATACGTCGGAGTCGAAGATAAACTTTCCTGGGTTTGAGCCGGCGCGGGTGATGACCACCAAGCCATGATTAGCCACTATGTCCTCAATCTGCAAAAAATCATATTAAATGACGATTTTTTTTTTGGAAAATAAAAACATACATCCGCTTCTGCCCACAGGCCGGGTACAGCAAAAGACTCAAGGAGATCAGCGCCACATAAAAGCTTCAGATGAACGGGATCCCGGCTATCGTGCAGACCCCTTGGTAGCCAGCTAGCCAGGTGAGCGTCCGGCTCATCACCTCCGCCTGTTCTTCCAGAATTAATGTGGTTATTGATGTAGTTCTGGTGATGCTGAAGTACCGCCTGTGTGCGCATCCACTGGTTCTGGTGTACCTCCCAATCGGAAAGCCGGATCCAGTTTGAGCTCTGCGTAGCTAATTTCACCATGGCACACCTGTCCAAAGCGGAGGCGAGACCCTTTTTGCCATACGAATCGTGAGTGGGCGATATGATGCCACCCACCACTTTGTGGGTCCCCTGCATTTCAAAGTGATCTTTGGCTATCTCTGTAAGCAGAATCATTCGGCGTAATCATAATCGATTTGGCACCGGGGAATTTCACCATCAAGTTTTACTTACCAAACATCCGCAGGTGCATCGGCGTGGGCGGGCTAAAACATCCACAGGCAATGAATGCGATCCGCGGCAGCAGGCTCTTGGTTTCCTCGATGAAAGCTGACATTTTTCGGTATTTAAGACTAGTTTTACTGATTCCGATCCAGCCTTCGAATGTTATGTTATGGTTTGGCCAGCTGATTTTCGCAATCATATGTTTGAGTGCTTTTTATTTTCAACACTGAACAGCTGTGCAAGACAGCTGTTAACACTGACTTACATTCGATTAACGGAGCTGAAGTATCGGTTGCAAGCCCGTTTCTATTTTAAATTAAATTTAAGTAAATACCTTATACCGATAATGTAACATAATATGAAACCAAAAAGTTGTTCACAAGGAATACAAAATTTTTTGTTTTTCCTGAACTTAAAACTAATAAAAACAAAAACTTTGAATGGGAAATTTAAACAACCCCATGCCAATTTGTAATTCACACACTCCGTTTTAATTTCAGTGATTACTTGATAATCGCTTTCGCAGCCGATAGTTGGGCAGCCCTGCCAGAACGATTGCCTTTCGATACCAGTGTTATCGATTAGAAATGGCGTCCTCACTGTCTTTCTTTTAAGAAAAATTCGTGTAGTCTATTTACTATTTAGCAGCGTTGTGCGTGTCTGACAATTGTGAGGACACGCTGTTTTTTTTTAAGAGAACTGTCTGGCAAGAGCAACCAAAAGGCGGAAATTAAGAGGATTACAGGACGACAGCGCTGAGCAGAGTGCGAAAACAACAGCCAGCAGGCATTGACGTGAAAATGCATTTGTAGCCCTAGCCCACAACACTTGTACACCAACACACACATACGGTCTTGTGCACACACAAACAGAAGCAGGAAGGGATTTGCAAAAAGGACTTAGCCGCTGCCTCATCATCATCGCAATCTTCGCCAGGTGGTGGACGAGGGGGAAGAGCAGGAGGAGGAGGAGGAGCGGCAACGGGGACGGCAACAACAAATGGCGCTGGTGACGGTGCAGCGCTCTCCCAGTGTTCCAGGCTCCTGCTCGAATTCGGTGAGAGTGGAAGTGAGAATCTCGCACTCTCGCGTGTGCATGTGTGTGCTTTGTTTTGGTCACCCCGCTCTCTCTTCCGGGAGAGCCAATCAAGGAAAAGCTCTTTCGTGCGTGTTCCGCTTTTGGCCAAGATCCTTTGTGTGTTTTTTGTGTTGTTTCACGCGCACCTAATGTTTATCCGCTTGTTGCTTACGTTTCGGTTTTCGCGTGTGGGCGTTTGGAAGCGTCATCGGTGCTGCTTTTTTTGGTTTTGGTGTAACCCAAGCAAATCCGCAGACGTCGCGACGTCTTTATTTTTCAACAGACTTTTGCATTGCCTTATTTGTCGTTTTTGTCGCTTTCCGCTTGTTTTTGTTTTCTTTGCCGCCCCACCGCCCAAAAATAGTTCGCGAGACCTTGACGCCCGCCTGCACAGTGGGAAAAATGTATCATATCATTTAATGATCAATATTACACGTCGTTATGGAACCGATATGCAAAATATGTCAAATTGGTACTTTTGAACATTTTTGTGTATATGTAGCAAACATTTTATTTGGCCAGCTTTCAAATTTGTATAAAGTAGTTGAATATTAAGTTGCTCTCGTTTCTGTCTGTGGATCGACCTTGGAATTGTAATTCAGGCAATAATCAAATAATAATCAAGCAACTTTCTGCCCGATTTGCCCTATTTATTATGTTGTCTTGTTTTTGGCCCCATTAAAATATGTTTTGCACGCCTAGTTGGGTGAGCGAAATAAGGAGTAATCTCGAAAGGGCAACAAGTAACCCAATATGTATTTATTTAATTACAGGATGGCGAGGCCGAAGACGACGAGGGCAATAGCAAGGGCAACGATCGCAGTGAGTGCTTCTTCGCCGGTAAGGGCACCGCCCTGGTCCTGGCCCTCAAGGACATCCCGCCCCAGCCACAGAGCGAGCGCCGCTTGAGCACCGACTCAAGTCGCTCCAGCAACAGCACGCAGAGCAACAACTCGGACATCCAACTCCACCTGCAGTCCATGTTCTTCCTGTTGCAGCGCGAGGACACGCTCAAGATGGTATGTATTCGCAGGAACACTACTATAGCTCATGCTTATATCCTTTTTGCCAAACAGGCTGTCAAGCTGGAGTCGCAGCGGTCCAACCGCACGCGCTATCTGGTGATCGCCTCGCGCAGCTGCTGTCGCTCTAGCGCAACCAGCGAACGTCGGCGCCACCGGATTATGCGTCACAATTCGGCCAAAGTGGGCGGTTCTGCGGGCACCACGTCGTCCTCCTCGACGGCGGTCCCTACGCAGCGCCAGCTGTCCGTCGAGACCTCCGCCACGGAGACCAGCAGCAGCAAATGTGATAGATCAGTGGACAAGGAAAACGCAACGGCGGGCGGCGACAACAAGAATACCTCAGGCATGGAGGAGTCCTGCCTGCTGGGCATCGACTGCAATGAGCGAACCACCATTGGCCTGGTGGTGCCCATCCTGGCGGACACCACAATTCACCTTGATGGGGATGGGTATGTTAAGCCGTTTTTTTTTTTTTTTCATTGATTGATCCTATTTTACTTCCTTTTACTATATATAGTGGCTTCAGCGTCAAAGTTTACGAGAAGACGCACATCTTCAAACCAGTCTCAGTGCAGGCCATGTGGTAGGTGCTTTATCCGATACTAGTTCCTCTCCTGTGGTAACTGTATCCATTAATATTTCCGCAGGTCCGCGCTGCAAACGCTGCACAAAGTGTCGAAGAAGGCTCGTGAGAACAACTTCTATGCCAGCGGACCTTCCCACGACTGGCTTTCCAGCTACGAGAGGCGCATAGAGTCGGACCAATCATGTCTTAACGAGTGGAATGCCATGGACGCGCTCGAGAGCCGCCGACCCCCTTCGCCTGATGCCATACGAAACAAGTAGGCAAACGATCTGCTTAATTAATCACATTCTATTTAAATGCACTTTTTATTGACAGACCCCCGAAAAGGAGGAAACCGAAAGTGTCATTAAGATGAAGCTAAAGGCCATCATGATGTCGGTGGACCTGGACGAGGTAACCTCCAAATACATACGTGGTCGCCTCGAGGAAATCCTGGACATGGATTTGGGCGAGTATAAGTCGTTCATCGACGCCGAGATGCTCGTCATTCTCGGCCAAATGGATGCACCCACCAAGATATTCGAGCACGTGTATTTGGGCTCTGAGTGGAACGCTAGCAACCTGGAGGAGTTACAGAAAAATGGGTATGTTGAAGGCAGAAGTGCTGGTTGGATAAGGTTAATATTTTATATATAATATGCTAGTACATAGTATTTTCACTGCATTGTATTTTGACTAACAACTTTCAAATTTCAGCGTTCGCCACATCCTGAACGTGACGCGGGAGATTGACAACTTCTTTCCGGGCACCTTCGAGTACTTCAACGTGCGCGTTTACGACGACGAGAAGACAAACCTGCTCAAGTATTGGGACGATACGTTCCGCTATATTTCGCGGGCGAAGGCCGAGGGCTCCAAGGTGCTGGTCCACTGCAAGATGGGCGTCAGTCGATCGGCCTCAGTGGTCATTGCGTATGCCATGAAGGCCTACCAGTGGGAGTTCCAGCAAGCGCTGGAGCATGTGAAAAAGCGGCGCAGCTGCATTAAGCCGAACAAGAACTTCCTCAACCAGCTGGAGACGTACAGCGGCATGCTAGACGCCATGAAGAACAAGGAGAAGCTGCAGCGCAGCAAGAGCGAAACGAACTTAAAGAGCACAAAGGACGCCCGTCTGCTGCCCGGCAGCGAGCCCACTCCCCTCATTCAGGCGCTGAACCAGGCCAAGTCTAAGTCCACTGGCGAGGCGGGCGTCACGCCAGACGGAGAGGAGGAGACTAGCTCACGGCTACACCGTCGGTCCATCGCCCAGAAGTCGCAGCGACGCATGGTAAGACGGTCAAGCAGCACTTCGCCTAAAACCCAAACCGCAGTGGTCACCAAACAGCAAAGCCAGTCCATGGAGAACCTGACACCGGAGCGCAGCGTGGCCGAGGAGCCTAAGAACATGCGCTTCCCAGGCAGCAACGGCGAGAACTACAGCGTCACCCAGAACCAAGTGCTGCACATTCAGAAGCACACGCCTCTATCTGTGCGCACGCGGATTCACGATCTCGAGGCGCACCGGGCGGACCAGCTGCAGCAGCAGCCAGTGTGGACGTCGCTGACCAAGCTGATTACGCAGACCTCTAACCTGGGAGGAAGTATTAGTGGCAGCGGTAGCGGAAGCATTCAGCAGCGGCGGGATTCCAGCTCCTCGGATGTATTTTCCACGCAGGTGGACAGCGTGTTTGCTAAGGAGGAAGGCGAGAAGCGGCAACGTCGCAAAACCCACTCTTGGACGGAATCATCCGGTCCTAGTGGCGGCATTGTCCTCGACCATCCTCCCCAGCAACAGAAGCACCAAACGAGCGCCATTCTTCTGCGGCCGCGTGGTACTCGCCAAAGGGAACCGCCCTCGCGGCACGCCAGCTGGGGATCGGGCGACAACCGGAGCAGCCTGCCGCAGAGGACCAGCTCGGGCTCTTACTACGACAGCAACCGCAACACGACGGCCATCTTTGAGGGTGTTATCCAGGACCTAAAGCGCAGCGGAAATTGCAATGTGATCGAGGGCGTTCATGTGACAGTGGAACCAGCCGTTGGCGAGGGCACTGTGAAGCGCACCAAGCAGAAGTTGGAAGAGAGCACGTCTTTGAAAAAGCGCTGCCAGGAGGACAGCCAGGAGCTGCTGCTTGAGACGGTGGACGCTGGACAAAAGCGGGGCACGGGTCTCTACAGGAGCGCCTCGTCGGCGCACAGTCCGCGGCAGCGCCAGCCGTTACGCTGCAACAGCGAGGAGCTGATGCACACAAGCGACATTGAGAACAAAAACACCACGCCTAGCGATCAGGAGACGACGGTGGTGCTGCGCGTCCAGGGTCAGCCGCTGGCCGACGACCAGCGCATCTCGGGCAATGTGCAAATACTCAAGCAGAATTTTGAAGCCAAAGCGGGGGTGGTGGGCACGGGAGTAGGAGGAGGAGGCGGTGGAACGGCAACTGGATCCGGATCGGGTAGTAGTTCAACCATCACGGCAGCAGGATCGGTCTCTGGTGTGGGTGGGGCTAGCTCCACGAATCCCAGCAAGAAGCCGACCAGCCACCAATCACTGCCATCGTCGCCGGTGGCGCAACATGCCAACCACGTGTCCACCGCCTCGAACTCCAACTCCTCCGCCTCCAACTCGTCCGATTCCAGCGTAAGCGAAAATTGTGATCGTAATGTAAAAGGTCTAGTGCATAAATATCAAACCACTACTTCCTGCAGTAGCCAGGCGGCGGCCCCGCCCACAGTCGCCTGCGCCCCACTGCCGCCCGCCGCAACCGCCAGCAGCAACTTGAGCCACGCCTGCAGCACCACCATCACCACTAGCTTCAAGCAACGCCCGCGCTCCTACTACGACCGCTCGCTGTCGAACCGCTCGACGCACGACTACAGCGACAGTCGTCCGCCGCCCGCACCCGCACGCCACAGTCACACCAGCAACATGCAACACCACCACCACCAACAACAGCAGCAACAACCGGAGCAGCAACAGGTGCAAATCCGGCGGCTGGCGCAGCATGGCAAGACGCATCCGCTGAGCAGGCTAAGTGCTCCCAAAACAGGCTTCAATACCGCCGCCTACAACACCATGTAAAGGCCACGCTCTGCTTAACAACATCTAAACTGCAACCTGCAACATTCACATGCCACTTGCAACTTGCAATCCATACAACGTAGCTTATAAGGAATCGTCCTCATCCTCACGCCCGCTTTACGTATTTATATATTTGCCCGCTATCACCCATTTTGTGTGTTTTTGTCCAACAATCGAACACCTCCACCCACCATCCCCTCATGCCTTGTGTTTGTTGTCGTTGTCTTGTTGTGTGAGGCGTCCGTGAAAGCTTCTAAAGATCTTGTGTCTGCAACGTGTGAATGGAACTATTGAGATGACAAGAGAGGGCAAACAAAACAACCTATGGAAATGAAACTGTATTTGTACTTTTAAATTACTTGTAACTGTATACATATTTATTTTATATTATGCAAGAACTGCCTACGAATAAACGATTTATTGTATATACGTCATCGTCTGGTGATTGTCTCTGTGCCGTCCTTGTGTCACTCAAAGACCGTGTGTAGTCCTCCCCAGAAACACTGCCCGACGTTTTACCAGATTTGTATTTGCAGCCTTATCCACATGATCCACTCATTCCGCTACTCATGGGCGGAGTACAAGAAGTGATCCAGCATTAAAGCGCCACCCTGCCGAAGGCCTTGACAAAAGTTCCCACCTTGAACACTTGTATTTTTTGCTATTTATCAGACCGTGTAGTTATAAATAAAAATGTGTAATCCAATTTAGAGCGCAATCTGTTTTACTGTTGGCAATGAGTCACCTTTGCTATCCAGACTTTTTAATTTAGCGGTCTATATCACATCATAGGACGCGGATAACAAGTCATTATATAAATTGAAATGATAAATGAAACATTCCAAATTGTAAGCAAAACTCAGAAATATTGTTTACAATGTTTAATGATTAATGATATACAGTCAGTCACAAAAGTATTCGTTGCGAGGCACCCTACAACTAAATACATGTTTTTTTTAATGAATATGTAACAAATTAATATTTTTATTTATTGTTTGGGGTAACGCACTTATTAAACATACAAAAAATAACAAAATTTTTTTACAAAATTAGCTTCATTGCTTTTTTTTCCTTTAGAAAATAAGAGAACTTCAAAATATCGTCTCACAAAAGTATTCGTTTTTTTGTTTCGGCATTAAATATTTATGTTTTTTTTTAAATTTAGTATTTTGTGTGCAAGCCGTTGTTTTCTTTAATAGGTTGTAAGCGCCTCGGCTTTGACTCCAGTAGTTTTCGGCACCTCACTTCGGGTATATTCGACCATTCCTTCAGCAATATCTCTTTTAGCTCATTCTTGGAGGAAATCTTATGTTCCTGGACTTTTAGCTTAAGATGGGCCCAAAGATTTTCAATAGGGTTGACGTCTGGGCTTTGTGGAGGAGTGTGGATCTGCTTGGTATTAAACAACAGCCATTTCTTGACTTTCCAAGCCGTATGTTTGGGATCATTGTCCTGTTGGAAAATGAACTTGCCGCCTTCTAGACCCATTTTGGTGGCACTGGAGTGTAAATTTTCCTTTAATATTTTGAGATATCCTTCAGCATTCATAATTCCGTCTATGAAAGCCAACTCTCCAACTCCTTGAGCGGACATGCAGCCCCAAACTAATACGGAACCGCCGCCATGCTTCACCGTTGGTTCAACATTTTTCAGTTTAAGCTCTTCACAGGGCTTTCGCCACACTTTTCCTTTTCCATCAGATCCGAATATATTGAATTTGGTTTCAACGCTAAATATTACTTGTCCCAGTACTCCAAATTCCGGTCTAAATACGTTTTAGCAAAAGAAAGCCGCTTTGATATATTTATGGCTGAGAGCAAGGGTTTCTTTCTAGGGCATCTCCCATGCAGATCTTGGCTCCTGAGCACTCTTCGGACGGTTTCAGTGGATACGTTTGTTCCCAGGGATGTGGTTAGGACACTATTAATTTTCGGAGCCGAAAGGTGCGGATTTTTCTTGTTTTCTTCGAGGATTTTCCGCTCTTCTCTGCAGGTTAATGCTTTCGGACGGCCGCAACGGGGAAGATTTTCCAGGGAATTCCTGGATTTCAGTCGAGAAATGAGACTCCTTATGGTTAAAGGACTTCTATCGAACATCCCACAAATATATTTAATGGATCGACCTTCATTATGTAGGTGCAAAATAATTTTTTTTTTGTGAAAAGTTTAACTCTGTTCCCTTCGGCATTTTGCTAGAGATTTACACCAAGAATGACGCCAAAAAATGGTGTTTTTCCCCGAATTCAGTCTTTAAAATAGAAACGCAACCAAAATGACAAAAAAAAAATAATTCGCTAACTTAAAAAATACTAAAATATAAAAAATTCGTAAGGCAACGAATACTTTTGTGACCCTGCAAAACGGTTTATATTTGTATTTTTGTCCATATCTTTTTATGGAAAGCGTTTTCTGTTTGGTTTTTTTTTCCACATACTTCACAAAATATATATCTTTGGAAACGTAAACCATTTTTTACCATTTTAAAACTGTTTCTTATTTAAAATTTGCATTTTTCTCTTAACCCTCTTTGCAACGAATACTTTTGTGACTGACTGTAATATTATATCAGCCATTGATAAGCGTCTTATGGGTTTTCATTTTAATGACTATGGTTGACTATGACAATTTACTCATTGTTGATAATCACTCTTTTCTTTATGTAATAAAACAATGCATATTTCTTTAAGACCGCAATTCCATTGGGAAATAAATTAGATTAGACTTTAGTAATTTGATCTTCATAAAAGGGATTAGACTTTAAGTGAATGTTTTTTCCATTTATGTCAATTTAAAATTAAAATGTTTTAAAGACCATGTTATAAAAAAACGAATTCAAAAGCGACATATTTGAATATTATTTGCGAATTATAAATTTCAAGTCGATGTCTATTTAAATGGAAAGCATCGATTAATCGATTGCAGAATCGGTTTGGCTTCCGCCACTACGGCACACGCACACACCTGCAGCAGCCAACACACTCACACGAAACACACACGCACACAGACGCGCACTCAACTTCCACAGTTTCTTTATTTTCTGCAGGAAAATTGGAAGCGAAACGACACGAAATTCGCAGTGAACGCGCGGCGGATTCGAGACCGTAACGTAACCGGAATCTCGGTGGTGATCCGGTGGCCAAGAGCCCACCATGCGATGCTAGCAACTGGCCAGGAGCAATCAGCCACAGCCGTCCAATAGCCAATAACACATCGTTCGATTTTCGAGGCGAGTCGGAGTTTCGGAACGGAACCAACCACCAATCGCTAGTCATCGTACGTGGCGTTATTCGCGATCTCGTAGCAGGTGCTCCATCCGTCCGGAGAAGAAGGACGAACCGGTAACGGAACCGCGATGACGGACGCCGCTGGCAACGCGCTGGCCGAGAAGGGCCTTCCGGAGATGAAGGGCTGGTTACTGAAGTGGACCAACTACATCAAGGGCTACCAGCGCCGGTGGTTCGTGCTGTCCAAGGGAGTGCTGAGCTACTACCGCAACCAGTCGGAGATTAACCACACGTGCCGGGGCACCATCTCGCTGCACGGAGCCCTTATCCACACGGTCGATTCGTGTACGTTTGTTATCTCGAACGGCGGCACCCAGACGTTCCACATCAAGGCCGGTACCGAGGTAGAACGCCAGTCGTGGGTCACCGCCCTAGAGCTGGCCAAAGCCAAGGCGATCCGAGCCATCGAGAGCGAGGAAGAGGAGGAGACGGAAACTGCTCACGTGGTGCCCAGCCAGGAGATCAGCACTGTGGTGCGCGATCTCACCGAGCGTCTGGAGAACATGCGCACCTGCTACGACCTGATCACTAAGCACGGCGCCGCCCTGCAACGCGCCCTCAACGATTTGGAAACGAACGAGGAGGAGTCGCTGGCCAGCCGTACGAAGATCGTCAACGAGCGGGCCACCCTCTTCCGTATTACCTCGAACGCGATGATCAATGCTGGCAAAGATTACCTGCATTCGGCAGAGGCCCAGGGCCACAAGTGGTCCAAAATGCTGCATCACGAGCGCGAGCAGCGCCAACGGCTAGAGGAGATGGTTGAACAGATGGCCAAGCAGCAATCGCAGATGGAGCAGGCTGCCGTCCTTGTACGCCAGAACAAACCGGTGCCGGCTAGTTCGGGAAGTGGTACGGCCGGCTCCCTCGTAACTTCGGACGATGACATGGAGTTCTTCGATGCCGAGGAGCATGGCTACACGGGAGCTGGTCGCTCGGCGGAGTCGCCGGATCGGGAGCGTGGCACCTTCATCCTGAAGATGCACAAACGGCGCAGCAGCAGCGAGGACCAGGTGGAGGGCCAGTTGGAAGGCAGCTCCTCGGAGAGCGATGAGCAGAAGCGCACCGTGCAGACGGTGCAGCAGGTGTGCTTGGTCAGTGCTCCTCGAGTGGCCTCCGGCGGGCAGGGAGATGACGACGACGTGGACAAGGCGGTGCCGGCCAAGCAGAGCACCGACTCGATCTACGGACGGAATTGGAACCCGGACCTGATGAAGAAGCGGCGCAACCGAGTACCGGACAAACCGAACCACTCCATCAGCTTGTGGGGCATCATGAAGAACTGCATCGGCAAGGATCTGTCCAAAATACCCATGCCTATCAACTTCAATGAGCCGCTGTCGATGCTGCAGCGCCTGGTGGAAGACTACGAGTACTCGGAGATTCTCGACTACGCGGCCACCTGCGAGGACGAGTGTGAGCAGCTGGCCTACCTGGCTGCTTTCACCGTGTCCGCCTATGCGACGACCACTAATCGCACCGGCAAGCCCTTCAATCCGCTGCTGGGCGAGACCTTCGAGTGCGACCGCATGGACGACTACGGCTGGCGGTGCCTTGCTGAGCAGGTGTCCCACCACCCGCCGGTGGCGGCGCTGCACTGCGAGAGCAAGAACTGGGTGTGCTGGCAAGAGTTCTCCATGACCAGCAAGTTCCGCGGCAAGTACGTTCAGGTGAGTAGCGAACTGGGGATGTTCTCGAAATCAGCCAAAGTTTAATAATCCAAGGCAAATAACTGATACACGGGATACGTTTCAATGATAACACGCGTTCTCCTTTTAATCAACTGAATTTCCGCAGATCAATCCACTGGGCGGAGTATATGTGCAATTTCGAGACAGCGGCAGGCGGTACTCCTGGAGGAAGGTGACCACCACGGTGAACAACATCATCGTAGGCCGTCTGTGGGTGGACCAACATGGCGAAATGGAGATCCGGGGATCGCAGGCGGCGGAGGGCAACAAGTGCGTGCTGAACTTTATCCCCTACTCGTACTTCAGTCGCGATGTGCAGCGCAGTGTGAAGGGCGTGGTGATGAACAAGGACAACGAAGTGAAGTGGGTGGTGCGCGGCACCTGGGACTTGAAGATAGAGATAGCGCCAGTGCTGTCGACATCGGGATCGGCTAGCAGTCCAACCTACACCACGGGCGAGTTTAAGCTGGCCTGGCGTCGTCGGCCTGCTCCTCCGGACTCGGATAAGTACTACAACTTCACTACGCTAGCCTGCCAGCTGAACGAAGAGGAGGAGGGCGTGGCACCGACGGACTCGCGCCGTCGTCCCGACCAACGGCTCATGGAGCAGGGCGATTGGGATGAGTCGAACAAGGAAAAGCTGCGCCTCGAGGACAAGCAGCGTACGGAGCGCCGGCGGCGGGAGAACGAGGCGGAACAGGCGGCGGCGGAGGGCAGGCCTTATCCGGCCTACGAACCGATGTGGTTTAAGCGGGAGAAGGAGGAGGGCAGCGAGGAGTATGTGCACGTGTTCAAGAACACCTATTGGGAGGCAAAGGAGGCGCAGGACTTTGAGGGCTGTCCGGACATCTACTAGACGACAAGGACGAAAGTAGCGAACGGAGCAGCCGTCGGAGCAACTGCAGCCACTACCACACAGAGCAGCCTTAGCGAATATTCTAAAGATTTCTAATATGCAGCCCCTCCACACAACTGCACACCACCCACACAGCCCACACACCACAGCGGACACGCTCCGGCGAATTGTGGAGCAGCACATACGCATATAGTAGTACCACACTTCGATCTAGTGCATATATATATATAAATTAATTCCTGTAAACTAACCGAGTTCGGTCCATGCCCCGGCATCAAAATTTACTTTATTTCTGGCCTGACTTTCGGTTCCCCCTTCTACTAGCTATCCAAACGAGGGCTCGACAAGCGGATCTCCTTTTCCAGGTTTTCGCTCAAAACCACTAGATGTCTTTCCTTTCTTTTCCGCAGAATACGTGTTTCGCCTTTGTTGTGTATATATTATAAATCGAACCGAATAAGAGAGCCGAGGTAGGAGCGAGAGAATATGTTAAATGTTATAAATTTATGCAATTTATTATTAAAGTATTATTTAAATAAAGCAACAATGTGTGTTTTAACTGGATGCCGGCTGCGGCACCACCTGCACACCTGCGATAAGATCGCGCCTGAATCACGCGATCGATATCACATAATCCGGCTGCCATAAACGGTAAGTCGACCATTGACTAACGTATCTTGGAGGTGGAAAGTAACAATTTCTTCCATCATATATAATGTAAGTACCCTGAATCGACTTGCATTGTATTTTTTTCATTTGAGAATTAAAACACAATTCCTTTAAGTAAGTTAATGTGTTTCTGCCAAACTAAAAATCATTTAACAAAATATATTGCAAACCTAATTTTAAAATGTTTCGAATACTCCAACGATTACGTTCCCCTAAGACTGTTAGCCAATTAAGTCGACTACCTCGGGCAGCCATCGATCAGGCTTATCAGTTGACGACACACAGAAGATAACGTTTAGCGGGTCAGAGCATGTCCCTCAATTGCTATCCGTGGTTTGGGAGGGTTCGAACAAGTCCAGAGACTTGAGGAGAGCCTCGCCGGAGGGATCGCGACCCTGGAAGCGGCGGAACACTTCCGCCGTTGGCACGGATCCGCCAGAGCTGAGGAACGTCTGTTTGTAGCGCCGGCCAACCTGCGCGTAGTTCTCCTCAGTGCGCTGCTCCGCAAAGCTGCTCGATATGTCGGCGGCTATCAGGCGGGAGAACAAGTGGCTGAACTGGGCGGCCGCCCAATCTCCGGCAAATATGTCCGTGAGCGAACAAGGGTGTGCGTCCTTCTTGTCGAGCGGCATGCATTGGTAGACTGGCCACAGTTTGCGCACAATCTCTAGCCAAAAAGCATTCGACCGATGCAGCTCCACGTCAAGATCCGCCAAGTAAAGGTCTTGACAAAGATTATAGCCGGCCAGTTGGGTCTTCAGTAGACGCATCTTTTGGGAGAGCTCCGCTGGCAAAGGCTCACCGCTGCTAAAGTGTCCGGAAAGACCTCGGATCACAGTGGGGTCGTCCAGGAAGTTGCTCATCACATGACCGGACACCTGCGAGGCATCCCACTCAATGTTCGAGAGTCCCGCCAAGTCGCTGTAGCCCGCTTGGGTGAGAAGGTGCTGCAGTCCGCTACCAAAAGTCTTGAACAGCATCTGCAGGTCATCGTACGCCAGGAGTGGAGGCCTGCCCTCTTCGGGATTTCCCTGCGGCTCCGAGAAGTTGAAGATCAGGGCGCAGAGGGGCGTCAGACTGGCAGATTTGTTGCTATTCCTTATGCCCACCATCCATCCGTTGTTTCTGCCGAATTTGTGCTCCTTAGAGTAGCAATCTACATAGAAGCCTCCCACCGGAGTCGAACTATTGCCCGAATCGGCGTCGAACACATCGTAGAACTTGACCGCTGGATGCCACACTTCCGCCTTGGGTTGCTCCACAATCTGAATGCCGAAGAGCTTTTCGCTAAGCGCAAACATTCCGGAGAGAACGCGGGGCAAGGGAAAGAATTCGCTGAGCTTCTGCTCCTGCACGCCGTGCTCCGCCACCAGCTGCTTCCGGCGCCAGTAGGCCACGTCGTATGCCTCCAGTTTGTAATCGCAGCCACTGTTCTGGGCGAAGCTCTGCAGTTTCTCCAGCTCCACACTTTGAGCCGGACCGGCGAACTTTAGTAGCTTGGCAAAGATTTGCTTGAGGTTATCCACACTGCCAACCATTTTGGTCTGCATAGACATATCTGCGAAGTTGGCGTACCCCAACAGATTGGCCTGTCGCTTGCGCAATCCGCGAATCTTCTCCAGGTGGGTGCTGTTCTCTAGGGATTTCTCCTGCTGCGAGGAGGCCTTCAGCACACTGGCCCTCCAAACATTCCAGCGTTGCAGTCGCTCTGGGCAGTGTTTGAGAAAGCCGTCAACCACTTGAGGCTGAAGTGTGATCTTCCATGGACCCTCCAGGGGTTGGCCAGGATCGCGTGCAGTGGCCTCTAACAGAGGAGGTGGAAAGTCCCTTACTAAGTTGAAGTCGGTAATCACATGACCGAACGAGTGCACTGCCATGTTGACCTTGTTCTTGAAGCTGGCCCTCTCGCGTCCCAAATGCGTAAGCAGCTCCTTTAGCCCGTCCTGCTTGTCCTTGTCTAGGGTGAGTCCGTTCAGCTTGCCCTCTAGCAGGAACTTTTGGCGCAAACGCTGCTCATCCGGTCCGGATTCGGCGGAGCTATTTTTAAGTGTCTTGTACACCGTCAGGTTGCAGAACTTGGCTGCTCGAGCGTTGCGCGCTCGCTCGTGAATGTTCATGTAGGATTTTGTGGGAATCAGCGTGGAGTTACCCAGGTACAGTGCCTTGGCCACACCCCAGGTGGTCTCCAAAGGTCCTGTAACTGTGTCAAGCTCCCGGAAGATGCTGCCGGCGTCCAGCTGCTTTCCACTCTGGAGATCGCTTTCCAGCGCCTTCACGGAGTTCTCCACCAGCGAAGCCTGCTGGCCAATAGCGCCCAGGCACATCTCAATGGTGATGTCACTGAAAGCGGGAAGTCCGTCTGGCTTTAGCACGCCCTCGCCTAAAGGTCCCTCCTCGCCAATTTCCGGGACCCTGAAAAGGTAGCATAAGTTAATACGAGTGGAAAATTTCAGTAGTCTCCATACTTACAGCACTATGTAACCCGGCCGGTTGTCCGATGTGTGCAAAGGAGCGCTGAACGCGGCCCGGATGAGGGGCACTGACGCCGGACGACGACGGAGGAGGTTGAGCATGTCCTAAATGAAATAGGAGATGCAGATATGTACAATCCCGGAGAACGTCCGCCGGAATAAGCGATTCAGAAAAGAGGGCCAGCGTTTACACAACACGCCTGGACCAAAAAGCAAATGACAGCGACCAGGGTTACCACTCTCACAGGAAAGTCATCAGAGATGCGAAAATCGCAGTTCACCTTAGTCACTGGTTACCAGCTAGCCGTGACTTGTCAATAGATTCATTTTGCCAGTTAGGAGTTTTACTTTTATAAAATTTATTAATTAATTTAAATTTAAGGATCCCTTCTGATTTTTCAATTAAAAAGAAAAACAATAATGCAGATATTGTATAAATTATTTACATACGTTTAATAATAGTGTAAGATATGTCAAAAAATTTACGCTACAAGGTTTTTTCTAAGATATATTTATAAGACCGTTTTAAGTCAATTATAATTACATACATAAGCAGCAGTCATTACCTACTCAAAGACAGTATTTCTCTTATTCGATTGTTGAACGTTAGCTGCTAATTAATAAATAAAAAGCTTATGTTAATGCTTTCCGTTTTTAGTTTTCATATGCCGAGCATAATAGTATGCAAATAAAATGTAAAAGTAAGAGTATAAAAGTAAAATCACCGGTAGCATAAGCATAAAAATATCCTTAGTTCAACTTGAGGTTGGCTAGGGTGTTATCTAAGTCTAGATTCTGGGGCGGTCCGTCCCCGCATCGGCGGAATCCGTTTCGAACTGTCTGCTGGGTATCCGAGCGTTCATCTTCGGAGGCTGAGTTGGAGGTGCCCGAGAGCGGCGGCTGACCACCAGGATTCGGAGGACTAGAGGATTCCGGGGCCAATAAATGTTGGAAGTTGTAGTGCACCCAAGTCCTGTAGTTGACAATATTTTGTGGCACCTCCACAATGTTGGCCAGGATAGGGCCAACGATCTTCGACGCTTCAGAGTCCACTAGTTTGGAGAGCTTCAAGAAGGCGGCCTTGAATCCCTGCATCACATGCAGCGCCGCATAAGAGCTCCTTCCGATGTCGTTGGTGGGTGTCACCGGGTCTTCTATGCTGAGCACCGACTGCCAGTTGTTCTCGCCTAGCGTAGAGCGCAGGCGCTCCTTCTCGACACAGCCGCCTTCGCCGAGCACCGAAATCCCGAACTTGAAGAAGTCGAACTTGCGGCCATAGTAGTCCAAAAACTGCAGGAGCATCAAGCCCAGTTTATTGTTCACATTATAGCGCTTGTTACTGCGCGCCTGCTGCTGCAAAAAACTGATGACCATGAGGGTCAGGGCATATGAAGAAACGCCGCCGGAACTATAGACCTCATTGAGCCCCTGGAGGCTGAGAAACTGTTTAAGCACCATCACAAGCTTAGGCATCTCGGGAAACTTTCGCATAAAGTCCTTGATCAACTCTGCGGCCTGAACACCCGATGCAGCTGCATTTAAGGTCACGTCAAACTTAATCCGGGAGACGCGTTCTGTAAATTTGATCACTGGCACGGAGGCTTTGTCCAGAACACTTACGGAACTCATTTCCGTTAATCCGCGGGCCACCAATTCGCTTTTCAGCTCGTGCAGTGGGGTTCCGGGGTTCCAGTAATGACCATGGTGCACCACTAGGTCAATGTCCGAGTTGGGCAGATTTAGTCCCGTCCGAAACGAGCCGAAGACGTCTACGCATGCGCTTGGCCACAGAAAAAGAACTACCTCCTCGATGCGACGGACTGCCTCCGCCCGCAAATAGAACTCCGTAGGAGTGGACTGGATATAGCTATAGAACTGCTCGATCTCTTGGTGTAGCAGGCACAGCGCCGGAATTCCTTTGCCGTAAGCCAATCCGGAAAGCTGCCAGGGCTTTGATGGATTCGCTGCTTGGGACGCCATAATTTAGCTAGACTAAACTAAAAAGACAACGAAAGGATGACAAAGCGGACAGAAAAAACTGGAAGGCAAACGCGAAAAGCGCCGTTATTCAAAAAGGGATGCCAACTGATCTCGATTCAAGTTTTAAAAAATCGTTGCAGTCACGTTAAAGTTTTATAAATTTAAATATAAAAAAAAAACAAAACAAATTTAAAAAAAATTAACAAAAGAACTCGCGAGTCATGTGTATTTGTTTAAGTTCTTTGTACAAATGGTTGCAGAATATGGGAAAAAGTCCGAAGCAAGCTGTCACGCCTGCTCCGTTGCGTAAAAATATGTAATAGACAGTATTGGGGACGGAACTACATAGTTCTTGTACCTTTTAAAGATTGCGTAGGGTATTTTCAAAAGAAACTAGTGAAGTTTAAATATTCAGAGATAGTTATTTGTACATATAAATGAACTCGGGCATATACAAGTAACTTTTTGAAATCTCGAACTAAAGTTTGTAAGAACCATTAAAACAGAACAATAGCTTTTTCTCAGTTAATAATTAATAATATAATAATAATAATTTGATCCACTGGAATACAATTCCCCGAAAAAACTTTACTGGTTAAAGCGAATATATATGTAAGAGTATGCATATGGGTAAATAAAGATTGACGATGAAAAACTTAAGGTACTAATCCTCCTCCAGGTGTCGACGATGTTGCATCTGCAGTTCAAAACGTCGATTCAGGCGCACACCTCGGATAAACTGTCCTTTTTCTTTTTGGTCCTTCGTTGTCCTGCCCTTGAACATTTCAATGCGTCGCTGACGGCGCTCTGCCAGCTTGTTATCCTGCGATTCCAGCGGCCTGCCGGTGAACGTGGCATTGAAGGACTTCACCGTGGTGGTGGACAAATTGAAGGCTGGCTTTGCAACCACATTGTGGGCAGGAGCTGTGATCTTTAAAGGCAATCGAGACGAATTGAGCTTCTCGGCGGGAACCACTATAGTTCGATCAGAAGTCATATCGATCTTTTTTAACGCTTTTGGATGGGTGTGCACACTCGCTGATGTGACACTTTGGGGTTTCTTGGCCGCCGAGCCTGGAAGTTGCTTCTTTACAGAATTGGTTAGCACTTTGGCGCGTTCCGCCTTCCGTTCGACGTGATCCAAAAGGCTCTCCATTTGAGCAAACTGTTTCTCATGCATAGCCGCGAAATTAGGCATCTTAGTGCGCTTATTTAATTTGCTTGGAGTGATGGTCCTGTTTAGTGGCAAAATTCCTGAGGGGAAAACCAATTCAATTACTTGGAAGTGTTACATTTTATATTACGTACCTCTACTTGGCTTGGGAATCCTGCTCACATTGCAACGATTCTCATCTAATGACTTTGAACGCCTGGGGCGGCTATTAACATCTGAGAACATGAATTTAGTAAGGGGTTATAGTATTGATATTAACCTAATAGAACTTACTGCTCTTTTGGAGTCCCTTCCAGCGCTCATCAATATCATCTACATGGACAATTTCAATGGGACTCTGAAAGCATACTGTGCGCGACATGGTATCATTCCAATCGCTGGCCGACTTGGAACGTTTACGTTCATATTTCGGATCTTCTTTTTTAATACCGAGGTTTCGAAGTTCCTCCGAAGTTTCCGTAAACTTTAACATGGGCTTTCCTTTGTATGGCGTGGGGAACCGAAAGCCTTTATTTTTCTTGGGCTTTGAAGCTCTTGGTGAAGCCAAATCTGCGAGATTCAAAAGGGTTTGGTTTTGATCATCGGCGGTGGTAAGAACCACTTTAATTGTCGATTTCTCTTTAATTATTTCTGGGTTGGGAGCACAGATGTCTGGCTTTTTATCTGGACTGACGACGAGAATAACACTTGCATCGAGATCAGAAGTACTTGCTTCTGGCTGTTTATCGGGATTAACAATCAGAATAAGACTTTCATCGGCGTTCAGCTTGTCATCTGCATCGAACGTTGTGTTGAGCTGTGATTTGTTTGGTTCCTCATGGTCTTCAATATCCATAAGTAATGGAGGCATTTCTTCTTCTGGAAAGGCGTCATCATCTGCGCCAATTTCGTTTTCCTTGTCAATTACTGAAATTTCTTTTTCTTGAATCTGCGCAAATGTTTTGATAGGTTCATTATTTTCAGAATACTGCGACTTACTCTTATCAAGAGACCTTAAACGCAGTTTAGTTTCAACCTCCTCGTTCTCACTTACATCCTGCGAAGCTGTTTTAATGGTTTTTTCAGCATGTGTTTTCAAATCGCTTCCTTGATGACTGTCGTTATCCAGTGGACACAAGCCCAGTTCATCTATATCTGCTTCAGCAACCAGTTTAGTTTGAACCTCCTCGTTCTCACTTACATCCTGCGAAGCTGTTTTAATGGTTTCTTCAGCCTGTGTTTTCAAATCGCCTTCTTCATGATCGTCGTTATCCAGTGGACACAAGCCCAGTTCATCTATATCTGCTTCAGCAACCATAGACATAAATTTAGATGCCGCTTTTTCATGAGTAACCGGTTTCTGTGGCTTATCATCAGTTTTTGATGCTTTAATTGTTGGGGTCTTCTCCATTTTTACATTTTCCTCTGCTTGCATCTCTGCAATATTCTCTTCAATTGGACGCTGCTCGACCTCACCCTCTGGAATCTTTTGCTGCGATTTAGGATTTTCATGTACCTCATCCAGTGGATCCTCTTTTTCCGTTTTCTGCTTTTTGGTGGCCACACGTTTGGACTTACGACTGCGCTTGCGCGAATTTTTGCCCACTTCCGCAACGCTCCACTTTTGGGTGGAGCCCTCCTCGTCCTCGGGTTTGTCTTCTGGTGCTTCGGCGAATACTTTCTTGGCAGATCGCACTATAATATCATCGTAGTCAATTGGGGGACGCACACTTTTTCGGCAACTGCGTCGTGGTGTTTCGGCGGTCTGGCGTGGATTTCCCAGGGTTCCTGGTGTCTTCGGGGGATCAGGACTTGTGAGGGTTTCGCTCTCCGATGTGGCATTCATCCGTCTGAGGACCGCCCGTCTGGTTTTTTTGGCTATTGGAGTGCCTGTTACTCCTACATTGACATTGGCGTCCTCATTTTCCTGATTGTTCGGCGCCAGGACGCCAACATCTTTTCTTTGATTATCTGCAGTAATTTTGCGTAAGGATATAAATACCACCATATAAGTTTAGAAAAACCATTGTATTTACCATTATTTAAGTCCATTTTCAACTGTACCCTTTGATTTTCTTTAAAAAAGACGCAAAATGCTACCGATATTCAGTTTTAATCTGTACGTTTTTTTTGAAGCTGGCTTAGTGTGACCGTTACCGTACCGCTGAAAATTGCCATGGCGGTATATTGTTAGTGCTGTAAAGCTTACAAATTTTAACGGTTTTTATTCAAATTGTATATTTTTACAATTATTTTGTGTTAAACATACAGATCAATTTTATGTTTTTGATTTGTTCTGAATAAGCAGTAGTTGAGATGTACATACTCTCAATAAATGATTATTAGTTTATTTTAAATTATGAAAAAATTTATAAATTTATTAAAAAACTCTGAAAATACTTAACATGTGAGCTGCCTTATTTGAAGCAAAGCCAGCATCGAGATGGCATCAACGACTAGCAAATGAAAACAAACATTTACATGTGAAATGCAATGAAATAAATATAAAACACCGATCGGTATCAGTATATGTGGCACTTCCATGGCTTAGCACTCCTCGTTCAGGGGCGTTCCCTGCCTGCTCAGAGCTAACTGATAGGCCACTTCAAAGGCCTGCCCCAAGGTCAGTATGATTTCCTTGGCCAGCTCCTGTAAGCACGAATAATTTATTATCGTGTTAATTAGAACATAGGGAATAACATAAGTAATGCAATTACTAACCAAGCTATCCACCATAAAGACATGGCAATAGTGAAGGTCCTGTTCTTTGGTTATGTAGGCAAAATAGCGCAAATCATCCGAGTCCTGGCAAACGCAATTGATGTTCTCAATGTCATGACAACAAATGGCAGTCTACGAAATAAACCAAGATTACATAAAATTTGGAAATACAAAACCACTGCATTATTAACCTTTTTCTCATGATCTATGAATTTAACGCCGATGCAGGAAACAGCAATATCCACATTGAGTCGCGTCTGAAGATTGGCAGCCTTCAGATACTTTGTGGAAGTGGTGCAGTTCTGCAGCAAACTAAAATCACTGACACTCGCCGCCGATTTCATGTTCTCATCGATCTTTAGCTTCTGGATAGATTTGCGCGTTGACAGGGTGCCTTGCAGTTGTCTTATTACTGTTGAGCCGAGATACTGTACAAATACAAATTACTTTAAAAAATTAGCTTTAAAAAAAGATGAGAATACTTACAAACAGGGAATATCTTATTTCGCCATAGATAAGTGTGTATGGCGAGTGGCACCAATTGGAGGCTGAGCTCTGTTTTCTGCCCAGCAGCAATTCTGCCGGATCTCGTATATGCAACGATTGCCGAGAATCCTCAAAGGAAAGGCTTTGTGGTTCGCTAAATTGTTCCTCGGTTTCCTGCTCCACAGTAGACACTTCGTTGCCAATGTTCTCAAAAATCGTATCGATCTCTGCCCACACACGTGAGGCACTGAAATCCTCCCTAAAGCGGAGTATCTCTGCTTGGACAGGCTGCGTCGGTGGTTCAGGGCGTGGGCCGACCTCACCATGCTGGGCGATCGCAGATACTCCCGATCCATCTGCACAGAACCTTTTCCATCCACTACATCCGAGGACAAGTTTAAAGTGGATCCCTTAAACAGACCAGCGAAGGGAATGTCGGCAATGAATTCCTCCACCTGGTCCGAGCTGGCAGAGTTAGTTGCCCGCGGGGTTTCCCCTGGATCTAGCAGACTATTCTTGCGTAGCGTTACCGGCTGCATGAAATTAAAGATTGTTCGCTCAGCTTCAGTAACCGTGGGTGGAGGATAATCCGGCGTGGGTGAATGACGAACCGACCGCAATTTGGGGCCATTACCATTGCTGTTATTGTTATTATCCACAGCTGCCGGACAGCTGCTTTCTTCGATTGGCAACAGGTTCGCGTAGTCATTGTATTCGCCATTTATTCGAGTGCGTGGTTTGGGAACCGGAGGAGAAGGCAGCGTCATCTCCACGTACGAAGCCACCGCTTGTTGACGCACCGCAGCTGTAAATGGTCGTAAAAAACAGATGTTAATTTTATTGAGTCACTGGCTATTTTAGATTAACCTATTGTTTAGTGTTAATTTCCGAAAATATAATATAAACCAACATTAGTTTAACAACAACGGTGTTCAAAAGGCTTTACATACAGTTGCTACTGGTGCTGGCGGAATTGTCATCGCTGGCAGAGCCATTTCTCAGCAGATTAATGTACTCGTACGATCTCGAGGGCACCGACCCATTAGAAATGTCGCTGCAGGTCTGAAAGCTGGGGAGGATGGGCTGCTTGTACACCGGTTTGTAGCTGGCCCACAGATCCGGGCCTTCCATACGAACGTCGCTCATGTTGTCACAGGACTTCTGCTGAATAATGGGCTTCATGTGCAGATAGTTCTCCGGCACCTTGGTGAAAACATCCAGCGAGCTTAAAGAGTGCGAAAGTCCGTTGGCTTGATGATCTTGCTTTCTACTTGGCGAGGGGTGAGTGGGTGGTTATGGAAGAGAGACCAAACGAGACCAGACCAGTTAATTGAAGAGACGCACAACCGATTCTGAAGCTGATTCTGTTTCTGATGAGTGCTAGGGCTAGTGGGCGTGGACATGAAAGTGGTGGGTACGGGTGCGAGTGGGGATGAGTGCGCTTTTCCGAATGACATGAGCTGCGGGCTAAGTTAATTAGGGTCAGCAAAGATGTGGGATGTGTGTCTCAGTGTCGCAGTGCATGGTCGTGCTGGGCTTACTTCCTCTGCCTTGGCGGCAGCTTCTGGCGCTGCGAGTTCTTCTCATACAGTCGCTTAGGCAGCGACTGCGTGCCGTTCTCCACGACAATTGGCTTCTGCTGTTCCCTTGCCGCTTGGGTGAACTCTGCAAAAGATCGTGGGAGTAAAACACTATTAGAGTTTTGTAAATTTGGCCTAATTTGGAGAACAGACATGCTGTGTTTTTAACTTTAAGATTGCGATTACAATTTATTAGTTTAATTTTTACCAATAAAGCAAATAAGCATTTTTTAAGTATACATTTTTTTTTATTTTATTTTCGTTAAACGGTTATGGGATGAAAACATTTATGCGCATATTTATAAAGTAATTTTTAAAGAAGGAATAAGTAGGTAAATTTGTTACAAAACTGGGTCTGATTAGTGTGTTATTATTGTGCACAGAAAGTAAATTGGTTCAAGCTTCGCTTGAATATCACTTATACGCACCGTTGATGGCTTCCACAATGTCGTACGTCACATGCGGTGGATAATCGGAGAGTATGTCCAGGGCTGTGCGACCGTTTCCATCGGTGGCGTTCACATAGATCCCTGCCTTAAGCAGAGTGACCACCACGGACTTTTTCCCGCAGAGAGCCGCCTCGTGGAGGGCACTGCCCGCATTGGTGAGTATGTTGACATCGACACCGGCGGCCAGCAGTGTCTCCACCACCTTCTTGTGTCCATTCCGGCTGGCCAGGTGCAGGCAGGTGTGTGTGAAGATGTGCTTAATGGGCGAGCAGCCCAGTAGCTCATCTTCGTCCTCATCCAACCGCTTGTACGGCAATATTAGGTCGGGGTAAACGCGTAACAGAGTTTGCACCACTTGAAGCCGGCCGAATTGGGCTGCCAAATCCAGAGCTGTCTGGAAGCTATTGTTGCGTATGGCGGGATCTGCACCATAGGACAACAGGATAGCCACCACGGCATTGTGACCATGTTGGGCACCCGAGTGCAGCGGTGTCTCATTCTCGATGGTCTGAGCATTCGGATTAGCACCCGTGGGCGTGTGCATGAGTAGCATCTTTACAATATCCTGGTGCCCCGCCCAGGCAGCCAGGAAAAGAGGCGTGGAGCCACGTATATCGGGCACATCCAACTGGGCGTTGTGGGCCAGCAGTAACCGCACAATGTTACTGTGACCATTAAGGCAAGCGTGGTGTAGCGATGTGTAGCCATTCATGTCCTGGCAGTTGATGCTGGGACTTCGCCGGAAACTGCGAATTAATATGGTTGTTTTTGTATGTATGCAACAGGTGAAATAACAGGTGCACTGAAAATGACTCACCTGGACAGCGGACCATGTCGCTTGCTTGAGTGCTCCAGCAGTTTGTCCACAATCTTGATATCTCCGCCCCGCGATGCTTCCAATAAATGCTGATCCTTGCCCATTGCTTCTCCGCCTCCTCGGGATCATCCACGACTAGGTAACTATGAAGGCAGAAAAACACATGTCGGGTTGCCTGTTAGTTTTTGCTCCGATTCCAAGAGAATGAGATCATCGCGAGAAAACAGAACACCAAAGCCCCACCCCCAGCCCCTTATATCAGGTGGCGGCATGCGGAATCAGCTGTTTGGCCCTAAAGCACACACACACTATCGCACGCAAATAGCTCGTATTTATTTACACCAAATCTAAATAAACATTCCAGAAAAACGCACGAAAGTGTTGTTGTTGATTAATGGGGCTGACTGGTTGCTGCGCCTCTTCCAAGGTCATTCAACGGCATTGGTTCGCTCCAATTAGAATTTTTATCCCGCCAAGTATGTTTTATCATACACTTTGCATTTACCGGCTATATCCACGTCCGTTGTAGGGGTTTACAGCCATAAAACATTCACTTATTTGCCTCCGCGATAAGCAATCAATAAAGTTCCGCGGACCAAAACTTTATTTACGTGGAGCCGATCTAGCCAAGACTAGTGTTCGAAAACATTCAAACTAAGCAATTGTCGGGTATGGGATTGGTTCGTGATAAGGCACGAGTCATCAGTGCTGTCAACTAAGAAACCGACATTTCTTGAAACCAGCCAAACAATAACCCCTAGCACGACTCAACCGATACTTTCCGCCGCCCATCTCTAACTGCACAAGCCAAATCTTTTATTTTCCCTGGCTGAGTTTCACGTTTTTCCCGAAAATTTGACCCACAGAACAATGGAAACCACGAGCTCCAGTCCAATAAAGCCCAGACGAAAAGACAAGGACGAAGGTAAGTGGAAACACTGAGAAACCCGCCCCAAAACGTAAAACCGAGATGTGCCGGCACATCGGGTGCTCATTTACCTTTGATAACGCGTGTGTGAGTGCTGGTGTGCGTTAGAAACAGTCAAATTAAAGTTTAAGGTATGCCCCTGTTTGCCCTATCTTAATGCCAACCAATTCACTATGTTGCCATTGCAGATGGCTGCACGGAGGAGGATAATTCCAAGGACCAAGGAGGCGAGCCGCAACGAAAGATCCTGCGGTTGGCAGACGCTCCCGAGGCGAAGGAAGTGTTTCTGAACGAAACCTACCAGCAGCCGGAAGTTACGCAGTGGCTGCAGAAGACCTGGACGGCGGGCAAGACCCAAGAAATAAAGGAGGAACACACGGGGGCACAGGTGTTTGCCGATCCCTTCCAAATATGCCTGCTTCCCGGCATGCTGAAACAGGGTCAAAGCCAGGCGCTGGTCGCCGAGATCATCCAGAAGGTGCAGTGGTCGCGCAAGCAGATGGACCTGTATGAGTTCTACCAGAGCACCGATCTATCCAATATGCCCACTTGCCGACTGCTGACCAACTTCCTGCAGGTACTTCGCAAGCAAGTGCGTCCCTGGCTGGAGAAGGTGACCAACCTTAAGCTGGATTATGTGTCTGCCTCCTGCAGCATGTACACCTGCGGCGACTATCTGCTCGTGCACGACGACCTGCTTAAAGATCGGCAAGTGGCTTTTATATACTATCTTTCGCCGTGGGAGGGAGCGGAGGAATGGACGGAGGCGCAGGGCGGCTGCCTAGAGATCTTTGGCAGCGACGACCAGTGCTTTCCACAGTTCCCGGTGCAGCGAAAGATTGCCCCCAAAGACAACCAGTTCGCCTTTTTTAAGGTGGGCTCGCGCTCCTTCCATCAGGTGGGTGAAGTGACCACTTTTGACTACCCGCGGCTCACCATTAACGGCTGGTTCCACGGCGAAACTAACGAGGCCTTCGTGGCCGATTCACTGCGCGCCTTTCCCCGCTTGAATTACCTGCAGCCCGATAGCCTGAACAAGCCACCGCTCGGCCTTTTTCTGAATAACGTGTATCTGAAGAGCGCCACACGCCGAAGCATTCAAAAGCGGATAGAGGAGAATTCCGAGATCTGCTTGTACGAGTTCTTCAAGCGGGAAAAGTTCGAACTGGCGCGGTCGCAGCTGCTAGCGGATTCAGACACGCTGAAGTGGTGGAGGCAGGGTCCCGCCAACGCGCACAACTATGAAGTTTTGGATCTGACAACTGCCAGAGGCACTATCCTTGAATTGATACAGTTGTTCCGCAGCCATGCCATGTTCGACTTGTTGCGAGATTTTACCGATCTGGATTTGGCAGGAGCTGAAGCCGAGAGACCAACTTGCAGCGTGGAGTTGCAACGCTGGTCGCACGGCAACTACACAGTGCTGGGAGACGGTTTGGCCGGCGAGGAGAATACTTTGGACCTGGTCTACTACCTGAACGCGGCAGAGGGAGCAGCGGTGATCACATACCTCTCACCCGACGCCGAAATGCCAGCGGGGAAAACACCGATGGACGGCAGACAATCGGACTACGAAGGCGAGGAAGAGGACGATTCCGTTCTGCTCACCATAACGCCCGTAGACAATGCCTTGAACATAGTGTACCGGTGCGAGGGCACCACCAAGTTCACCAAATACGTGTCGCGCAACACGCCCCTGGAGAAGGGCCCTGTTTTTGTTATTTCCTGCAGTTACAAGGAGTAGGCTGTGATCTTTAACCATAAAAAGCGCACAATTACTCTTCAATATTTACATTCATACCGTTTTAATGTACAGCAAATAATTAACATAATAAAATCTAACAAAAACCCCAAACGAGTTATTTTTTAAAAAAAAAGTGAAAAGTCCTTATAAGTTGTTTTAAGCTTAGGACCAAGAAACGTACAGAACCGAAACAATCTAGGAACTAACCGCACAATTCTACTTGACTTTGCAGATAAGTTCAGAATCGGGGCCACGGTTGCCTTTATCGTGGTCATCATCGGCATTGGCGTGCCCATGTGGTGGCGCACTACCACTGTTTATAGGTGAGTCAATAATGTCTGGAGGCGTTTTCCGAATGATCCATAATTGTTCCATTCACAGAGTCAACTTGCCCTCATCGGACATTCTGAGTCTGAGCGAGGTTCCCATCAAAACGGCTGTGCAGGTGGCCATCTACACTCAAGAACCAACTCGTGGACAGTTGCTCATCACGGAACTGCAAAGCGCCTTCAGCAATAGCGGTGGGTAATTGCAGTTCCATTCATAGATATTTTATTAAAAACATTTATTTCTTCAGAAATTTGGAATGTTGAATTTAAGCAGCTTACTCCGACTACCAAGACCAAGGAAGCTCATACTCCTGCGGCTCTGGAAAAGTTCTTGCTGGAAGGGAATGTCCAGACCGTTGGTGACTTCATGTTTATTGAGTGGCCCAAACTGCAGGAAGAGTTGCTGCTAACCACTGAAAGATCGGCCCTGATGCGAAGTGACACAAGTAAGTATATCACAGTATTCTATTAATTACATTAATATAAATGGAATAGATTGTAATCTCAATTTCAATATTTTTGTTGTGTTTAAATATCCAATAATGGACCGAGGGATTTCAACGTCCTCGATAGTATAGTGGTTAGTATCCCCGCCTGTCACGCGGGAGACCGGGGTTCAATTCCCCGTCGGGGAGGAAGGTAGAGGTTTTTTTTTTTTGGTTTCAATATTTTGTCTTTCTATAATAATATACAATTTAATTTTATAACCAACTTGCCTAAGCTTAAATATATATTTCTTTAAAAATATATCGGTTTTTTAATTTTAAAATAAAGTTCCGAATCCTTTAAATATAAAAACTGTTTAATAAAATAAATCTCCCCGACGGGGAATTGAACCCCGGTCTCCCGCGTGACAGGCGGGGATACTAACCACTATACTATCGAGGAAGGTGAACGATTGGAGACTCTTTCCTACTAAATTTTAACCAAATAACTATTTATAATCCTTTCCAGCTTCCAACAAAATCGCACAGCTGCTGCACGGAAAGATCCTGCAGACATATCGCATCAATCAAATTTTAAGTACAGACGAGAGGATGGGAGCAAAATCGGAAGCTCCTCAGCCAGCCTACGATGTTATTGTTTCCGTTCTGAATCCCAAGCCCCGACTAACCCACGCTCAGTGGAACATTGCCATGGCTGTTAAGAGTAAGCTTTCAGGACGTAAGAGAGATAGTTACTTAATACTTATACTTCCTTTTCCTGCAGCCTATATTGAGCCCTGGTTGGCACAGGTGTCTGGTGTTTCCAACTACACAGTGCGATCGCAGTGGAAGTACCGCGTGTCCATTGAGGCAGATCTCAAGCAGGTGCGCGACCAGAGCAAGTTGGGGCGACACTACGCGTTGCAGGAATCCGCGCTGCCCCATCTGCTCACCTCGATTGCCCAAAATCTGAGCGCCAGCACCACAGATAAGCCGGCAATTAACTTGGTCGTATACATTCCACCCTGCCACACGGCTCCACTTCATATTTACAACAGCAAGGATCAGCGATTGACGCGGAACAACGTAGATGCCTTTATTTCGCCACCTTGGGGAGGCTTCATCATCGCCAATCCCCCGGAACATGTTTGCCTGGCAGCCCTCAACGATCAGCAGCCATTGCCTTACCATGTGAGCACCACGGATAACATGCAGGTGATGCTCGACCAGCTGCACAAGCTGCTCGACATCAGCAGCGAGATTCAGATCGAAGGCGTCAAGGTGGTGGACATCGAGCAGCTGGAACCGCGTCGCTGGGAGTATGAGGCTTACCTAAGACGCAGTGCCATTCGCCACATTTCCACGGCCAGCAGCACGCTACAGAGCCTCATCAAATTGTTGGGTAAGATTTGTATCCATAAAAAAAGGAGGGCAACTTTGGCAAGACACAAACTAAATATCTATGCAGTCAAAAAACATTTTTAAAACCGTTCAGTTATTCGTGTCCAATGATCTGTATAAACTGAATGTAGTTTGAACATATCTTTTGCATAAGCTAAACCTATTATTAATTATTAAAATGAGTATTTAATTATTGTATACGATTTAAAAAAAATAGACGTCAAGCACGTTATTTTACGACCCTTTCGTTAAAGACATTCAATGGCTTCTTTATAGATCTTTGTGATAAAGAAGCATTTTAATACGTTAAGGTAGTTAATATTTCATTAAGTTTTTACTGCATGAGAAGTTTAATAACCCATTTAATTGGACCTTATAGTTTATTATTGGCTTCCTCCTCTCGTTTAGATCAAATCAGCTATATTGTGATAGACGACGACGTCGGCGCCGCAATAACGAACTCTTATGCCGACATTTTGGCGGCCAAGGCTGCCCTTTTGGAGCACCGATTGTCTGATGCCTCGGTGCTGGCCAAGCGGGCCTTCGTGGCCTCGGAGCGGGGATTCTTCGACGCGAGTCTGCTGGCGCAGCTGTACTTCCCCGACGAGCAGAAGTACGCCATTTACATTCCGCTCTTCCTGCCCATCATGGTGCCCGTGCTCAGTTCCTTCAACATGCTGCGCAGCGTGCTGCAGGCCAGGCGGAAGGAAAAGCAGTCGTAAACGAGCCGTAACCAAATAGTATCACTCCTCATTAAAACTATATATTCTTAATATGCTGCTGCCGCTGCGAGTTATTGGTTCACTTTATTTTATGTTGTTTTATGCAGTATCTGTCATCGTCATTGCTTCGGGGCTTCCCATTACTGTCGGCTTGGTATTGCATCATGTTCAAGCTGTAGACTGTCATACAGAGGAGGTAGCTGCAAACGATTCGTACTATCATTCTGGTGAATGGTGTATGTATGAATAAGGGTGAAATACTGAAAAATTTGGATGTGCTGTTGGGAGATAAATATTTGAAAAGTAAACCACGTGCCACTATTCTTAAATTAGCTTTATGAGATGGGTGTGTTGCCATTTAATGTCATGGCTGGTGGGGAACTCAAGTCTCTGGGACCAGCAGAATCCACTCAGCGTGTGAACGGCGCGTATAGGTCAGGTTCAGCTGAGACTCGCTGCCGGATGAATGTCAGCCGTGACAGGAAAACAGACACGCAGTCTCTAGCTAAGTCGTATTAAAAACATTGATTTTACTGCGCTTTTAGTTTATTTATCTGTACGATGGGCAAAACATCCAATTTTTGTGATATGAAAGCTTATATTTCAATTTAAAGGGCCAGATAACGAACAAATCTGTCATAGGAGAGACTATAATTATAGGATGTCATTACTAAGCTTTGTTAATCTTCTCCGATTCGTTTGGAATTTTAAGCTCTTCAGATATTCGAGGTTTACATTTCAAGACAGTGCCATCACAATTGCATGAGATTCCATTGCAAATGAGCAGACGAAGGCAAACGGAAAAGGCACAGATACGCGGCTGTCAAAACTCGTTAAACATGGAATTCAATTGCTGGTGGACAGCCAAAGCGGAGGGAGGATGAGAAGAAAAAAGGGGCGGGGCCGGGGTCGACGACGGCGTCAAACTTTGCGCATTAAAAGTAAATAGTTAATTTTTAATTGCTCACGGCTCGTTGGCTCTCGACAAAGAGCTGCTCGTTCGAAAACGAAAAGATCTCGCTGCATAGCTGTACATATTCAACAAGTATTTGTCTACCCAAAGGTTAAATATTATTTTAATGAGCCGCGCAGAGCGACAGGGACTTCAGAGGAGACAGAAACCTTTTCTCCACGCGGCCCCAAGACCGCAAAAAGGTCAACAATGTGACTTTTAGCGATCGCCAAATGCCGCCAGCCAGCCAGCCAAGTGGCTTTGTGTCATGGTTTTTGTGCCGCGCCGGCATATGGTGGATCCGAATCGGAGTTTCAGTCTGGCTCTGAGTCTCAGCCTAGTCTGGATTTTCTGGTGACGCCTATTTGCGGCCGTAATTGCTGGCCAGCAGCCGCAAGAGGGCCATCTGCATTTCCGGGACTCGGAATTGGCCCGTAAATAACCCTTTCCCACACGCACTCAGTCACGGCAAACCGCACACGCACGTAAAAAATCAATTGAAGCGAAGTCGATTTTGGAGTCTGAAGTTGGCCAGCCGAAGGCTAACACAATAACGAAACTAATTTTGATGCGGTTGTTAAATGTTGCCAAACACCTCGGCGGCTTCAAGTGGAAAATGGCCGGAGGAGCGGAGATTTGTTCGATATGAAGATGTTGCAGACAATGGATGGACTCCGTCTTTCTGCCACTCGAACACTCGGGCACAACAAGGCGTATAATTAATAATTGATTGAGCCGCGCTTTTCCACAAACAATGACTGACGACCGGGCAGCTGCAGTTGAAGAATTTCTTGGGTCCCGAAAATGGCACAAAGTACTCGAACTCGTACTCGGTTCGTACTCGATTCGGGAGACCGAAGTCGAGATGCCAGGTGCGCCCATAATATTGCCTATATGGCTGGCGAACGTAAAAGCCACATTGCCAAACGTTAACGGTTGCAATTGTAATCACTATTTTGACCAAAAGTGGACCGGCGGTTGTTGCCGCTGATGCACTTTTATAGCTCGGGTGCATTCCCACCGCTAAGTGAAATTAATAAAAATCGGCTGCACCAAAAACGTCAATGCGTCTGCGCAATGCACATAATTTGTTTAATTAATTACGCCAACACATTTTCATTGCTGCCTATTGGGCAATTCGTTTGGTTGACAAGAAGCGATGTGATTTTTCACATAAGCCAGCAAAAAGCCAAAAAAAAATGTACACTCGCACTGAAACTATAACGGCCATTGAAAGCCGAACGGATTTGGCAGCTTTCGAAAGATCCAGCCATC